TTTTTTTTTTTTTTTTTTTTTTTTTTTAAAGAAGGAACTTTGGAAAACCAACGCATGCGAGTCTTCCACAAAGAAGAGCGGCTCCCCGACCAATGTTTCGATCACCGCCAGACAGACATGCATGAGTCTTCCACAATAATTGGACATTGCATGAGTCTTCCACAATAATTGGACATTGACACACACACGCGCGCGGCACACACACGCGCGCGGGAAAGCAAAGAGGATTGACCGACGAGGTGGGTGGGATGCGTCGACGCCCATACATCAAGTACGCAACCCCCCCTCTTGGGGTTTCTGCCGATATGAAATTAATTATTCGTGGGTAGTCTTGTCTTGGAAGCCGTATCTTGTCTGGGCGGCGGCTTGCTTCTGGGAACCCCCCCGTTATTATTTCGGGGTGTTGAGCTTTCTGTTCGCCATTTCTATTTCAGCGGAAACGTTTCTCTACACACACACACACAAAAAAAAAAAAAAAAGTCCTTCGGGGGACATCCGTTAAAATTGGAACGATACAGAGAAGATTAGCATGGCCCCTGCGCAAGGATGACACGCATAAATCAAGAAATGGTCCAAATAAATTAAAAAAAAAAAAAAAAAACGTTTCTCTTCAGTGGAGAATGGACACGTCTCCCGAAGAGTGCTTCGTCCGCCTGGAGCAGTACACGTGTCGTGCAGGGAATGCGATAGGAAGGCCTGGGGTACAGGTGTAGGTAGGCTGGAACGCGACCATCTCCGGCCCCCCGAACACAAGGCACCCTGGTAATGAACGAATACAGGCGATCTGTCCGGCTCGATGCATCCAGTCATCATGAGGGTGCCTGATGTTGGGGGGAAGAGGGTAGGACTGGAGTTTTGAGCAGGAGTTGTATGACGACGGTGTGTGACCATGCCGGGGCCCAGGTCCCACTAGCAAAGAGGATTGCATGCTGAATCTGGACGTTGATTAAGCAGACTTTCTGCACCTCTCCACAAACACGTCCTGATGCAGCCAGTCCATCCACTCGTCTTTGCTAGTGGGACCTGGCGCCGGGTAGGCGGCAGTCAGCTGCAGACAGAAGCCGCCGCCGTCACCCGAATAGAACGCCTGGTCGTTATCGCTGTGTAGAGACAGGTGGACGTAAATGCGGCCAGGTACATCCACGTCTGGCTGTAAATGCGGTCAGATACATCCACGTCTGGCTGTAAATGCGGCCAGGTACATCCACGTCTGGCTGTAAATGCGGTCAGATACATTTACGATGGTGCTAGTGTGAGTACGGCCTGACTCAGGGCAAGGCCTGTGAGGGCAAGGTCAGAACGGCCCTCTATGCTCTGGGCTGATCGCAAGGAGGCTCTGGGCTGGAGGAATGCCCTCCGAAGAATGCTGGGCCCAAGTCCCACTAGCCGCTTGAGTTTCCTCAACACCTGAATCTGGGCGTGTTTGAGGAGATGTGCAGAACTGGCGTTGAGTTTCCTCAACCGCACATCCCCACAAACGAGTCCAGATTCAGTCAGGCGTTGAGGAAACTCAAAGCTGCCTTGTGGGACCTGGCCCCTGGTGTTCAACCAGCCCTAACGCGTCAGGGAGTGTGTGCGTTGCGATGTACTCTGATGGTGGAAGTGTCTCTGCGGGTACTGTGAAGACTCTCTGTGAAGCTTTGACACATCATAGCGATTGGCCTCACTAGAGTCACTACCCTTATTCTCTTCTTCTTTCAGCTCCTTTGGCGAGGCATGGCATATGCTTGCCCAAGGGCTGGTCAGTTCAGCAGGTCTACGAAGGATTCCAAATCACGTTGGCCTAGATGCTACCTACCTAGGTAGTGAGAAGTGGGGTTATAACACCAGTACATCTGAGCCTGTTTTTGACAAGACGGATTCCGCCTGCTCAAGTGGGGTTATACCACCAGTACATCTGAGCCTGTTTTTGCCAAGACGGATTCCCCCTGCGCCGGGCGGTTCTGTCTTTTTTTTTTTTGCATAAAAAAATCCAGGTTGTTGTAGAGGTTGGATTCTAGACATATGACACGGCCATCTGGTCATCAGATGCTATAGTGGCAGCATATTCCTGTAAGACTCCCTCCCAACCCTTCCATTCTAAGATTTCTTCCTGGCGCACCCCTACTTCCAGGATCCTGCCTTTTTTTTTTAAACCACCAGTACTTGGCCCACTACTTCCAGGATCCTGCCTTTTTTTTTTAAACCACCAGTACTTGGCCCAGCTATCGCCCGCTTTCCCGTTAACGCGCCGCACCTTTAGGGTTTCGGGGTACCGGACCGCAATGGCTGGAAGCGCCAGCCAAAACAATTTCAAAACGGACACCCGGCGCTTCGAAACGGTACCCCGGCGCTTCGGCGCCGGTGAAAATCGGCGCGCAGGGGCATTTCAGGCTCGGCATCGATAGCTGGGCCAAGTACTGGTGGTTCAAGGGCCCAGTGCCCAAGGCTCCAATTACGANGGCGCCGGCGAAAATCGGCACGCAGGGGCATTTCAGGCTCGGCATCGATAGCTGGGCCAAGTACTGGTGGTTCAAGGGCCCAGTGCCCAAGGCTCCAATTACACACACACACACACACACGCCTCTTCCCATTAGAGCTGGAAGAGCCTCAGCCACTGCTCCCCTGGAGACAGTTTCCCTGTATGACACGAATATAGCATGGGCAAGGGGCATTGATTGCTTCCCCAGTAAGGAAGGATCAACCCCTTTGTGTGCAGAATCAAGCTCTGCCCTGCTCTCCTCAATTACCCCTACTTTAACCATTCTGCGCCGCGAGGAGTGGGGGAGATTAGTGTCTACCACTCAGGACTCCCTCCGAGCTCTTCCGTTCTAAGATTTCTTCCTGGTGCACCCCTACTCCCATGATCCTACCTTACTGTCTACCACTCAGGACTATCACCCTCCACTCTTCTCTCGACGAGGGTGAGTTTGGGTCGGGGGGGCTGGATGAGTTTGTCAGAGAATAAGTCAGTTTTGGTGAGCTTTTTGTTATGATCTGCTGGAATTCCCTTAGATACTTGAGTGAGTGTTAGGAGAATTGCGGGTGGATTTCAGGAGGTGTTTAGCGATCGTAAAAAAAGATTCGTAGTTTTTCTCATCATCTATTCCCGATTTTCAGCAGTTTGTTTATGATCTTGGAGGATACTCTAAAGGCGAAACTGGGTAATGGCTCCGGTACTTCAATTTGTTCATAAATCTTTTCTACATGTCTTCATATGGGACACTGGGCCCGATTCCCAGCACGTGCTGCTTCCCACGAATAGATTGGAGCATGTCTTCTTAAAAAAAAAAAAAAAAAAAAAAAGTTTTGGTCCGGGGGCCTCCAAAATTTTCAGATTCGTTCCATTTCAATTCTCAAGTGTGCAGGAGCAATGTACTGGCAGTATATGTGGCACCTGGTGTGTGGTTGAAACTGAAAATTGGTCTTTGCTGCGGTCCCGCTACTGATCTCCCAGCTGACCCGGAGGAGTTCCTTGGGGCGTACCATAGTCAAGTAGCGGTATACTAGCGGGCCCCGAAAAATAGCTCTGGGTGTACTATAGCTCATTAGACGGAACAGCTGCAGTCTGTCTTTTGCGTTGATTTTTCATTTTATTTGGGTTTGCCAGTCAGTGTGGTTCAGGGATTCGGTACTTCCGTTGGGCTACTGGCAGGAACTTTCTGATATGTGGCTCACATATCGGCGCAACTTTCAGGGTTGGGCCGCCGGAGCAAAATGGCTGGTGGCGCCAGCCAAAAGGAGGCCTGCACCGGTTTGTTTTTCTCTGGCACGCGGCGCATTTGCT